TGTGTGTGTGTGTGTGTGTGTGTGTGTGTGTGTGTGTGTGTGTGTGTGTGTGTGTGTGTGTACTTCTATTCCCCTGTGGGAAAGAGTTTAAGTTTTAGACTTGTGGAGAAGTGAGGTAATCCTGGTCTGACCTTGTTTCTTCAGAGCTGGGAGGGTTTTACAGTTAAATAAGCTTTTTGGAAGACTTTCAGACATCAGCGTATCGTTCTTAAATTAACTTTCATCCCTTGTTTCTGTAACAAAATAAGACTGTGTCTTCTGACAGCGTTTTCAAAAATTAAAACTTAATTTTCTCTACATTTTTATGTAAAACTTGACACTTACATTTACTGTCCACACCCAGCGACATTAGATCACCATCATCACTCTCCTTTTAGCTCAGTTTTGGTCTCCAACAACTCCTGAGCACAGTGTCTGGCTCTTTAGCTTCCAGATGCTCGACGACGTTCAGCAGCTGCTCTCTAACGCTGCGTGTCTGCAGGTGCAGGTGGTTTATCGGAGCTTTTTTAGCTGAAAACAGCAGAAAACTGCTGCTGAACACGAGGTTGATGAGAGCAGCACCATCAGATACACCAGATCTTTCTACAGTATTTCTCAAGATACTTTCATATTAGATAATACCCAAGAGTTTTACATCACAATTTTCAGAACAATCTCAGCTCTTTCTATAACGAGGCTCCTTTTTAACTCTCACTGTGCAAAGACATCATTTGGGCTGAATGCTGAGAAATTGGTGCTTGAAATGTGTTCACCAAAGTCTTATGTTCATAGAAATAGAGCAACATGTGAGTAAAATAGTAGATAAATGTTTAATAAATGCCTAAAATGAAAACTGTCATTCTACCATAGTTTAGAAGCCTTCGAACTCCGCCTGTGAGTTACGTACGATCTCACATGAATGAAACAGAAAGTGGAGCATCCACAGATTCTAACAGCATTTAAATCATTTTTCTGCGCTTTATTATCGCAAAGATATTAACGGAAACATCCGTCGACCTCAGAGGTTAAAAGGTCAAGTTGTAAAACCAAAACAATGAACTGAAAGATGCTAAAAAACAAGAAAAAGCTCTGTAGAGTTGAGGGGAACTGCAGTCTCATCAAACACGTTCCCAAAGTCTTTGAGAGCAAGAACCTGCTGTGGATTCTGTGGATTTGTGACAGCGTGTAAATTACACACAGTCATTTGATCCATTGTTGTTATAAAAACATTGATTAGTGAAGCTTTAAACTCTCGTTTGGAAGAATGAACATCACTCTTTCCTGAGTATGAAGAGTTTATTCTAATCCACCTGCAAAACAAGAATATTTTCCACGGGCTGCTGCCAGTCACATCCAGCTTCTACATTTCCTCTCATCAAATTGTCAATACATCAGCAGGTGACACCTACAAACACGTAATCAATAGCTAAATTATTAGAATTAGCAGGACACTGACTCTGCGCAGCGGCGCGTATGAACATTAGCATCGGTCACTGGGAGCGTTAGAGCCGCGGCGTTGATGCATCTCCAACAACCATTCAGATGATGCTCAAGTCAAAGAGGTGACCGACCACCGACTGGATTCCTCCGGGAGAACCGACTGAAACCAGCCCACGGGTCGTCTGTGCTGCAGGTCATTATGACATCATCGTTAGGTTCTGCTGCTAGGCGACATCTCGTGGCCGTAGTGATGACGACAGGAGCGAAGGGAAAAGTGTCGGTGACGTAGCATAAAGAGAGACAGAGCCCACGTCAGGAGGAGGTGGTGGTGGATGGAATACTGTTACTGTAACCATGACAACAAAGATTGTCTGATGTCGAGGGAGCACTTATTTTAACCCAAATCACCATCTTTTCCTGAACCTAACCAAGCCATGACCGTTATTATAGTAACCATGGGGACGGTCGGTACGCCGCTCTCGGTATGTTACGGTAACCATGACAACTGAGGTCCGGTACACCTGCCGCCGTAGGGGCACACTGCCGTGGGTCGTGTCAGAGGGTTGTCCTGTGTAGTAGTTTAAGTTGGAGGAGTCGTTGGCATGAATATAATTGGACGTTAAGAGTCAGCTGTTCGCCAAACAGCAAATTAATAATCGTGTGAACCGCCTGCAGCTGGGTTTCCTTTTAATCATATTTTTTACATAAACAAAAGTTATATAAATATTTATAGTGTATACTTTCTGACAATTTTTCCTATTAATTTGACTAAAATGAGTTTTAAATGATTTTGAATGTTTTATTTGTTTAAATACATTTACATACAAAATAATACATACATATATATATAACTTTATATTTTTACCAACCCTTGTGTTGCTTTTATGGGTTTTATAATTAGCACTTATTTTTAGCATTTATACTTGTGTGTTTTTATTTATTTATAAACCTGTTAGCCCTTTACTTTTTTAAACACCCTGAGGTGTGTGAATATATGAATGTATGTATCTATATGTTATGAATTTTACTTATTACAATTATTTATTATCAACATTATTATTTTTTTTTTTAATCTTTTAGTATTATATTTATTATAATTTATTAAAAATAGTAAAGCTTTATAATAACTCGAGCTCCCGTCACCTTACCTGTGTCTGGGGCCTCGTTTAAACCTTTTTTATTTATTTAATGATGATTTTATTTATGAAGGGGGTTTGAACCAACCAGTCAATTCTGGTTTTAATGAGGGTCTTTTTAAGTGTTTTTGAACGTTCACGGTCGCTGCGTGTCCGTGCCCCTCGGATCTGTCATCTTCAGTGTTTAATCTGCAGTAAGGAGGCACATACCCAGTATCTGTTTACACACTTCATGTTTGTGTGTTGTTTCGCTTGTCAGCCGTCCTTGTGTGTTTTCTAACCGGGGGCCTATTTTAAGTACTGTTTGCCTCTGTCCCGGGTAACCTGCACATCTAAAGGCTTTATGAATATATTTGTTATTCTAAGCAGAAACATTATGTAATGAGGACAGATAGAAACGCACAAATGGTTATCGAGCCTCAGCTAATCATTACATCCATTCTCCCTACCAGGGCTCATCTTATGTCACATTCTGGGCACAGTATACAATCAGTGTTTAAACACAAAGTCTCACCAACTTCATTCATGAAAACAAACAAACAAACAAACAAACAAATGTCTTAAAGCTTAAGTTAGACTCGGCCCTTACAGAGGACGTACTGACGCTCTTTTAATGGTGCGCTGTTGTTGTTTCTCCCTCTTGAGAATATTCTCATAACACCAGCTGATGGAAACATATTTGGATTCTCTTTGGCCGACTTTTCAGATATTTGTTGATATTTATATTTCTCTCTCTCTCTCTCTCTCTCTCTCTCTTTGCCTTAGATCACAACCATCTGAACAACGCAGCCTTGTCTCCCCTGGGTCCAGCCATGGCTTTGTCTCATCCTCATAACAACCTGGGAATCGGCTTCAACAAGTACACCTCGCTCAAGGCCGTGGGTGAGTAGGGTTACTTACACACACACACACACACACACCTTTACAACACTTAAACATGCATTTAATCCAGTGTGACCCTTAGTATGTAAATAATGGATTAAACAAGCTCAGTGTACAGCGGTCAGTGAAGTCAAACATTGTACAGTGTAAAGGAACCTGAGTTGGGACGATAGAAAAACAGAACACGTCCACATGCTGCTGCACTCTGAGCGGGAGAGTGGTTACGGGAGAGGAAGCACCCATTAAGATAATAGATTTTTTATGAGTCTGACTCCCTGTTCGAAAGCTACGACTTACTCCTGATTTCCTCCACCTCAGGATAACTACATTACGGCAGTCGTGATGTCAATATTATGACTGAGATATGTCGCTGACAAGACAGAAAGCCCTTCGCCCCAGTTTGAGAAATCTGACTGAATATTTCACTGAGATCCAGTGTTTTTAAAACTATTAATAAATGATGCTCTTTACCAGCAGGATGTGTAAAACACTGCAGCAGCAGCAGAGCTCTGAGCTCTGCTCAGCGATCAGGCCGATCACCAGCGTGAACTCTTATTCTGTCTGCTGCAGCTAAATACAAACTTTACTGAAGAGCTGTCACTGTTCAGCAAGAGATTAGCAGCTACACGTGCAGCACAGCTCGGCTCGGTGTTATTCTGTCCACATGTCCAACAACACACAGAACTAAACCGATACGAAGCAACTAACAGCAACTGTGCGTTTTTGCACTAAAACTAATGAGCGACAAATTAGAAAAAACATAATTATTGTTATTGTCATCAGACACTGGTTTCCTGACATGTATATATTTGTAGGTTATGTAATTTTAACTCAGTAAATGATCCGTTTCATAATGTCTCATAGAATTCAGCATTATTATAGTTTGTAAACAAAATAATTATAATAATTGTGTTTATGAAGCTCAGACTTTAACCAGCTTTTTCTCAGTAATCGCTTCTATAAGTGCTGATGTCTTACCGATCGCTTATTTTATTTTTAATGATTTATTATTTCATTTATTATCTGTATTTTTTTATTACTACATCTCATTTTACATCAATGCTTTTAACATGTTTTTATTTTCTTTTTATGTCTTCTCATGTGAAGCACTTGGTGCATGTCATTTCCTTTACGAAACTTGTTTATTATTATTATTATTATTATTATTATTAATTGTTTATGAAATATGCAGAAATGTAACTTGAGCCATATGAGCACCTATAGATTTTGTACCACACCTTATTAATGCACTTCATGTTGGTTCCTGTGTTTTGATCTGTCACTTAGAATCATTAGTAACTCTCTCTTATGATACGAATATCGTGGTGTTACATGTTGGTGCATTAGCTTTATGAAACCGGGGGAAGTCCTGTATTGACCAAAGCATTAGGACATTACGATCACCGCTGACAGCCACTGTAACGCTGACAGTTAATGACAGCTTGCCTCTCTGTAAATAGTAATGATAATAATAACGATGTGGGAGGTAGGAAGGTTCCAGGATGGCATTGATGACGTAACTTACACAGGGATGGAAACTCAAGTGGTTCAAAAGATGAAACAAAGAATATATGGAGATTATTTACGGATCATACGGCGTCTAATGGTTTTTAAATCACCGATTAAAAATCACAGGACAAGCAAGTTTAACACTCCAACATACACAGATAGATGGGCGGTGAGTGACAGCAGTCTGGACAGAGGCAAGTTCAGGCCTCAAACTCACCCTCAGGCACCACACACACACACACACACACACACACACACACACACACACACACACACACACACACACACACACACACACATATATACACCAAAGTCCTCTGACACATAACATTGCAGCACTCTCTTCTCCCCTAAGTTACCGCACACGAGTTTAAACTTGTATAGACAGACAACACACACACAACACAACACCACACACATATAGTACGATCTATCATCTGATCACTGCAGACAGAGAAGGACACGGTGACGATGACGAGCAGCGACAGCTCGACACATGTACATGAACTGTTCATCGGCACAATATGCAAAGAGAGACAGAGCTGCTCATTATAGCTGAAGAGCATCAGACAGAAACTAAAGAGAGTGAGACGTCCAAAGTTCAGAAGGACAAAGCTGCTCTGGTTCTTGGTCTGAAAATAATGCAGTTTAAAATAAAAACAGTGGCACATTTACTGCTCTTCTTAATAATTTACCTGATGTCAGGAAGTGGCAGACAGGAGCAGGTGTCTCATTTCTCACCAACAACCGATTGAGCTGAAATTAAAACTGTCACAAGAAGATTTTATCATGATTTTCAAGCTATCGAACTGAGCTAACGTCAGCTCCATGACCTCGTTGATGACTTTTTAATGTTTCTTTAAAACAAGTATTGTAGATATGGTGAGGAATAATGTAAGATCAGGCCGTCACTGTATTTCCCTCTAATAAAACCCTCTGAAGCTTCATAGCTCAGTGTGTTTTCACTTTTCACATTTCCAGAGAAAAAGGCTTAAAGGGTGAAGATGTGCGTGGCAACGGTATCACTATATCTCAGCTAATGTTTGCTGGAGTGTAAACCAAATACAATAAAGAGCTGCTAACGTTAGCCTGAAACTCTGTTAGCTTCCAGCTTCCTTAAATACTTTGCAGTTGATGAAATAGAAAGTTTTTCTCTAAGATAACCTTTGATCCTACATGTGTAATAACTGAAGCTAGCAAGCTAGTTAGGCAGAGATGCTAACATAATGTCGCAGCAGATAAATGTGCTGTTGTTGTTACTATTGTGTATTTGGTGTTTTGGTTGGAAGGGCTGAAAGAGAAAAAAACGTGTCCAAAAACCTCATGAAAATAAATCGTTTTTTTAGTAATTAGTTTTTAAAAACCACAGGCAGAAACTGCAGCCATTAAGACGTTTAATTGATGACTCGGAGGCCACAGCAAACTGGCCTTTTTTCACTGTCTTCTTACTTATTATTGGAAACACGTTCTCAGCAATCAGCATTAAAATAGAAAAGAGCAGAAAAGACTCAGATAAGACAATAAGAGAAAAAACTGAGGCCGGCAAAACGAGCGACGCAAACTGACTGAGAGGGAGAAGAGCAGGGAAGACAGAAGCTCATCTCATTATTCTGCTCAGTGAGAGAGAAACAAAGGCCGATTGCAGCAGCAGCATCTTCCCCCCCGACCACTGAACGATGAGCATCAGCCGCATTTCACTGAAAAATACTTCAAAATAACAAAACCCCCTCGCACAGCGACGTGCAGCGCTCTCGCCCGTCCTCGCTCCACGTCGACGTCTTCACCTGTGTCTCTGATGACACGCAGACGTGGAACTGCTGCTTTGTTTGGTTTCTGTCCTGTCTTTATCTAATACACACACTTCAGTCCCGGTGTGTCGCGCTTCCTGCCATCAGGGACGCTGGGTCTCATGCAGCTGACACCAGATCCCAAACAATGACAACGGCAGTAAAGATAAAAAAAAACTAAAATAATGATCAAAACTAGAACTACCGACTCACAGTTGTATCCCTCCGCCGCTCAGACTAGTTCCAGGTTACATCCCTGTTGATCCAGAGTCAGAGAAAATATTGACTATTTGTAGGTTTTCGGAGGTCACTGTGACCTTGACCTTTGATCTTTGACCTTTAGCCACCAAAATCTACTCAGTTCATCCTTGAGTCCTAGTGAATGTTTGTGCAACATTTGAAGAAGTTCCGTCGAGGCGTTTCTGAGATATCGTGTCCGTGACAAGGGGACGGAGAGACAAAATGGCTGCTGCGGAGGAATAAAACTGATCATATAAAATGGAAAAACAATGGCATACTGTCATCCAGTGTATTTATTTTCAATAGTTTTATAATATAAACAATAAATCACCCTCTTCCTCTTGACCATCAACATGTAAATACAGGCGGTCGGCATCACAAATGATGCAGAACTCGTATCAGGTCTGAATCCTGGGACGATGAATCCACTGTGAAATATTTCATCATCACACAGATTCACGTCGTGACAGAAGATTCAGATCTATTTTTAATTCCTCTGGATAATTCATTCGCTCCGCTCAGTGGATCCGATGCAGGAGTTTTAAAGCATTGTTCAACATTTTGGGAAATGTGTATTTTTGTCGAGACTGATTCCACCCTCATGTCTTTCAAGTGAACACAGCTTAGCTTAGCTTAGCTTAGCTTAGCTTTACATGTGCTGTTAGGTGAAGTTATTTGACAGAGCCAGACCAGCTGTTTCTCCCTGTCCCCACTCTTTATGCTAAGCTAAGCTAACCAGCACCAGAGAGCTGTCATCCCCACATGCAGCGGTCAAAAGTTCAATCAAAACACCCGCGCAGCCAATAAACACAAGGCATCCAGCCAGGCACGGAAACTAAACAGGAAGTAAACCTGAAACTGGTCACTGTGGAAACGGAGCTCCTTCCCCAGGCTGCTCTCTGTCCCCGAGGGCACCCACAGCCTCCTCCTCCTCCTCCTCCTCCTCCTCCTCCTCTTCTTCTTGTGGAAGGACAGATACTTTGTTGCAGCGCGAGTCTGCGAGCCCCCACCCCCCCCCCCCACCCCGCTTCTCCCCTCCCCACCATTATCCTGCAGGAGGTAGCTGATGGATTATCAGGACCTCTCTAGCAGCTCGTGCAACAGCCCCCCCCCCCCAACGCAATGTGAGGAATCCTCGACACCCCCAGCCCCCTCCCAACTGCTCCGTGAGAGTCGATATTTTGCCTCTAGAAATGAACAAAAAAAAAAAAGAAAGAAGCTTGAACCTCGAGTAAACACGTTTCCTAAAATGTCAAATAATTCCTTGAAGCATGAATCGAGGAATAACGTTCTGTTGTTTCTCTCTAAGAAACTGGCCACAGAAACGATCCAATCATCTTTTCACACATGCTTATCAGTTCTCTTACTGCGCAATAAACAAGACAGCGGATCCACAGCTGCTGGCCGTGCGGCAAAGTCACGGCTAGGACACACAACAGCTCGGCCCGGGCTGCTGACCATTTGCCAGGTGAAACAGCGGGAATCTGGACCAAGCTGCTTCCTTCTTAAAACACACTGCAGCGGTTAACAGCTGATGTTTGTTTACTAAAATCTCTCTCACACAAAGCAAGACGAGGAGGAAGAGGGGAAGACGGAGGAAAAAAAAGGAAGCAGGAAGTACAAAAGGAATTTATAAAGAAGAAAAGAAGAGAGGAACAGATCAAAGAGGTCGGGAAACTGCGTGTCAGCAAACCTGCGCCAGGTGCAACAGCAGGACCCGGGCGCCAGCAGCTGTGAGGAATCTATCTTAAATAAAGTGAAAGGAGGACAGGTGAAGTGGCGGGGAGGAGGCGTCGGGTAAAGATGCTAAAGGTGAGCGAGAAGGTGAGAGGACAGAAACGTCACGGACGAGCAGAATCCGAGAGCGACAGGAGGAGGAAATAAACTTTGATCGGAGACAAGCTCATAAATAGTTCACCTGTGTTTTTATTTATTAACCTCGTGTTCACTTGGGCGTCGTGGAACTCGGAGCTGTTTTCATTGAAGATGCCGTTTTAAAACACGAACACATACTTCATGTGTGATTCAAGGAGCTCGACACGTGCGTCAGGTCTCCAGGAAGGAAACAACAGGAGACAGAAGGCGGAGGGATTTTCTTGAAAAGGGTGTGAAAGGCTTCGTGCCAGGCAGCTAGGACTCCAAGTTCTGGGCCAGGACAGCCTGAAGTCTTTAATTAAAGTCTAACGATCCAACAGTCTGAGCAGTATTGGAGATACTGTGGAAAAATGGCTGTAAAGTTAAATAACATCCGGTGATTGTTTATCCAAAATCACCTATAGCATTTTTTAAAAAAAAAGGTCAGAGAAGCCAAATTTAAAAAAAGGAATTATGAATTATTTCATAAAATATTGTCATGGAAACGAGAAGACGACTCCACAGACTCACTGATAAGGTTTTTAAAGTCAGTGAGAGATGAAATGATGAGATATTTCTGCAGCGTGGTCGCTTCAGGTCAACAAACGGGTGGAATAAGTTTTTGGTAGATTTTGAAGACTACATGAATTGGAGTGATCTCAAATTCCCCAAAAGATGGCTTTGAAGATGAAGGCGCTCCTCCAGCTTCCTCTGGTTCAAAGTTTTTTTTTTTTTTTTTTGTTTTGCACTTCAGGGTAAGGTTCCTTTATCGGCGCTGATCAGTGGAGAACCTGCGGAGACTAATGAGGTGAAACGTATGCGAGGTGTGAGTGTGTGGATTCTCTCGCAAGGATGTGATTTTATTTTTATTTTAAACTCCAGAATCTGCAGGACTTTCCTGACCGGAGAACATCAACACTATTCTCAATCCCTGCTCTGGAGTTTCCGTCTGAATCACCACGAGATATGAAGAAGTGGTGCAAACCGAGACGTAGAATATTTCAATCTGATGCAATACGAACATGACACCTGGGGTTGTAAATATTTCATGCGCTGTAAGACGTCACATGGCTGCGATGAAGTGTCGAACAGGAACACGCCGTCATGGAGAACATGGAGCAAATATAAGAGCAAAATCAAGTGTTTAAGAGGTTTAGGGCAGATCAACAGACAGTATGTGGTCACTGTACATGCTGTCCACACATTAAGGTTAGACAGGGACTGCAAATGAATTAGATAAAAATAAACAGGAGGTTGTTACAGGTAAGTTACTAAATGCACAGACTGAAATATAACAGAATAGAAACGATAACCCACACGCCGAAAACCAGCGGAAAGCAGAGAGATCACTGGAGGAACAACTGTGTTTTAGTCCTGGTTCCATTGTGATGTTAAAACACATTACACTGAGCAGGTTCCTCCACAACAACTGCTCAAACATTATTAAATGGCATTAAAAATAGACCAAATAGAATTCAGTGTGTCGTCAAACTGTGAAATCCTTCAGAGGGCCCCAACTTATGCAGTTATAATGCAGTGGCCCAGATTGGGCCCACGGGCCTCGCTTTAGGCAGCTGCTGGATGGAGAGCGAAAGCTGATGTTGGTGAAGAGTATGAAATGGAAAAGAGTGGAAGAGAGAGAGAGAGAGGGAGCAGATGGAGAGTCTGTGAAATGGAGAGGAAGGCACATAACACCGTCACCGAGGACTCGGCTGTCAGGTGCTGCTGCTGGCGACATGTGTGGAAACGCTCAAGCGGACGGCAACAGCAGTTTGTTGTGGGAAGAAAAAAGGGGCGTGTTTAATTCATTGTTTCTGTGCCGGCCCAGATTTTGTTCCCGCCCTGTCCAGAGATTCGGAGCAATTTAACTTGGAATCCCGACGCCGCACCGTAGCGTCACGCCATATAAAACATTTCCCTGAGAGCCTCGGGTTGAACATCAGTCTGTATTTACAACACGCGTGTGTGTCACATACTGTACATACACATACGCATCAAGAGGCTTATTCCCTTTTCAATGAGAGAAGAGTGTATGCTAATGTTTTCTTTGTCACACATGTATGTACACACACACGCACACACACACACACACACTAATCCTCGACTCTTACAAAATTTAAATTAAAGCAAATCAGTTCCTTTATTCATTCCCTCGTTCCTTCTCTCCAATATTGAGACACCGTATTTTTTTTTCTAAAGAAAAATATGCCTTGTGAAATAGGCCACTTTAATTGCTCTGCAATTTGAGTGATTAAAGTGATTAACTTAATTATTCTTCCTCTGTTTCTCTTCCACGAGTCCACAGCACAACGAACTTGTCTCGATCTGTCGACGCGTTTTTTGATAAGTGATCACATTTAACCTCGTGACATTTCCTATTGCTGCTGCTTTTAATGTGAACCTGCCGCTCACCACTCCACACTACTCTACTGACAGAATAATTATAGTATATTAATACATTTAATGGCTACTGCAGAAACAGACTGATCCTAAATAGGAGGAAATACGAGGTCTGATTGGATTACACCTTTAAACTGGTTTTCCTGGCAGTGGAAACAGTTTGAAACATCTAATATCTCTTATTAATAAAACCAATTTCTATGTGAAGAAACCATCAAAGGTGCTGTGTTATGTTTTGTGACGGCAGGTGTCGACAGGTGCCTCACTCCCATTGGAGAGACAGGTAAAGAGAGAGAGAGAGAGAGAGTTAACATTTGTGATGAACAGCAGCTGTTCACACGGCGGACTAGTACTGAAACCCTCGGACCAGCACGGAGGGATTTTACAGAGGGAGGAAGTCCGTCTCTCCTGAATGGACCCACGTGTGAAGTGTTCAATAAGCAGTTACCAGACTAGTGATAGCGCCGGACAGCTCTCTGACACGTGTGAATGTGAGTCGACTCCTCCAGGTGTTTTTCTTCTGGAAACACAAACACAAGAAGCTGCTCTCAGTCAGTCTCAGTCAGCTCCTACAAAACACTGGAGACGACTCGGCAGCAGGAAAACAGGCCTCTGCAAAAGTCATCAAAAATCTGGATGACTTGTGTTTGTGCCGTTTTCTTTGTACAGTAACTGAATCCCTGAATGTTTATAGATTATGCCATTAGTCTGATTTATTTTCTCTCTTCCCACGTTCAGTGTTTTGTTCCACTTGGGGACATCTAGCGTCATCAGCTGTTTGAGCTTGAAAATGTCTGATAGATGTTATATATTCACGTAACAGCATCTTCCTGCACAGAGGGGAGCCCGACCTGTAGGATCAGCCCAGATGTTCACACAGCAGTCGACTAATAAATAACCAAAATACGCTTTTATCAGATTTATAATAACAACTAAATATGTCTGGTATCCTGGAAACACCAACCTCCTGTGTGTGTGTGTGTGTGTGTGTGTGTGTGTGTGTGTGTGTGTGTGTGTGTGTGTGTGTGTGTGTGTGTGTGTGTGTGTGTGGTGTGTGTGTTGTGTGTGTAGGTGTGTGTGTGTGTGTGTCTGTGTGTGTGTGTGTGTGTGTGTGTGTGTAGTGTGTGTGTTCCTGATTGAGCAGAACATGATGTTTGTGCGACCGTGCGTATTATTTCTAATTTGGTATCTAACATAGAGCAGAGAGAGAGAGAGAGAGAAGAGAGAGAGAAGAGAAGACAGAGAGAGAGAGAGAGAGAAGAACAGAGCGAGAGAAGAGAAGAGAGAGAGAGAGAGAGAGAGAGAGAGACAAAAAGGAGAAGAGAGAGAGCACAGAGAGAGAGATGAGAGAGAGACAGTCAGAGAGAGAGAGAGACGAGAGAGAAGAAGAGAGAGAGCGAGAGAGCAGAAGCAGAGAGAGAGAGAGAGACAGAGAGGCAGACGAGAGAAGGCAGACCGAGAGACACAGAGAGAGAGAGAGACAGAGAGAGACAGAGAGGACGAAAAGCAGAGAAGAGCAGAGAGAGAGAGAGACACGAGAGAGACAGAGAGACTAGACAGAGAGAGAGAGAGAGAGAGAGAGAGAGAGAGAGAGAGAGAGAGAGAGAGAGAGAGAGAGAGAGAGAGAGAGAGAGAGAGAGGTGTAGTGGAGCCTGCAGGTGTCTTATTGTTTAGAGACCAACAAACTTCTCTTATAAGAGCCGAGAGAGATGAAGCAACGTTCAGGTGCGACGGCGAGAGGAGAGTTTTCCCTGCAGCCGGACACCTGCGTCGTTAGACGTTGATATTTGGTTGGATGAAGGCTGCGATGTCAGGTGACCATAACTCAGTGTCACGACAACGTCTAACTGACGGAGACTTTGGCACTACATTTTCTTCAACCGCTGAACTACCGTATTCCTACGCACGAGCTCACCTACAGAGCGCACTGTATGACGCCGCAGGTCAGCTGAGTGAATCAGGAAGTGCTCCGTGCTCCATAAGAGTCAAACTAATGTCTGTTTTTAACCATGAGCCAAGGATCATATTTGACTGATTTTATCATTAATCACTTCTCATTGTTGTGATTTCATCGTGACTCTGTTCTGCTTTTCCCTCCTTCCCTGTTTCTCTGCCCCCACCCATCCTCCAGACACGGCTGCGAGAGACTACTACAAGAGCTACCCAATGGTAGATTACACCCATCGCCAGTCCCCTCCCACTTTCCAGCCGATCAACTTCCACCCCAAGGACAAGCCCTTCCTCCCGCCGCCCGACATCCACGCGCCGCTGGCCATCACCATCAACGCCTCCCAGATCCCCAAGCCGAAGATCTCCAAGACCAACACCCACCCGCTCACCTCCAGCTCGGCCTTCAAAGTATGGGACCCCAGCAAGAGCCACGCCCCGCACCCGGCGGGCTCCCACATGACCCTCCAGGGGCAGCAGCATCACCCCATCCAGCAGCAGCAGCATCAGCCGCTGCACCAGCAGAACAGCCGTCGCCAGGCCTACTCCAACAAGAGGCAGTTCAGCATCGAGACGCTGCCCGAGCTCTTCTCGCAGCCGCTGGGCTACGGCCACTCGCCACACATGCACCCCAAGCACAAGGGACTTCCCACCAACAGCAAGACCGAGGTCACTGTCTGAACGTGGCGGTGAACGGGTGAATTAGACAGAAGAAGAGGAGACAAAAAGAAACAGAGCAAAGTCGAATAGGGAAATGTTCAGATATCTTTTTATATCCACAGCCGTAATGGCGAGACGGGGAGGGGCGAGAAATATCGTATCTGGAGTTTTTTAAAACTGCATTTTCCGCATCACTGTTGACAATACTGAGAATAACACGAGTGATATCTGCTACTTTTAAGAGCGTGGATCCGAACAGCAGCAGACGAGCTGTGAAGGCGGTGGACTGGCAGGTGCTGGCTGTGACTCTTTGAACCCGACGGCTCTTCTAAATAATTGAGTGGCCTCTCAGTGTGTTGGCACAGCTCTGTCCTCCTTCTCCTCTCAACACCCCCCCACCCCCCGCAACTCAATGACACCATGCGCAAAAAGGTTCAAATCCCTACACACTATTTACCGCACAAACGCAGCCAGACTCGGAGGCTGTCAGTGAGGCTGGGAGGGGAGCGTCTCCGCCAAGACTTTGGCCTCCCATCAGCAGAGACAAAGCCATTGTGTTGTCAGCCTGTTGCCCTCCAGCCCTCCGGAGAGTGAGATATCAGCCTGGCGATTTATACCAGGGAGGAGGGTGGGTGGTGTGGGTGGGGGGGGGGTTGTTCATCTCATTCCAGGGGCAAATGAGATGAGAATGATCTGAACCATGTTGCACACACACACACACACACACAGCTACAGAAGGTTCCCAGCAGTGTCAGAGAGGCCGCTGACACACACACACACACAGAAACACGAGTCTTGAGTCGAATAAGTGAGGAGCTTTTCTTGTTTGTATTTGTAGCTGCAGCTGCTCCCGGCGACTGCTTGTTGTGTTGCTGCAGATGTTTATACCTCTAAAGGAAACCCCTGGATGTTTTACAAAGGTCATCACAAAGTCACTGCATCCTCCCTCCCTCAGTCGTCACACTGAGCTTCAGTCAGATGAACGTCAGTGCTGCATTCAGTCCTCAAACATCCACTTCCAAAACAAACAAAAAAAAAGATTTCATAATCAGACGGTAACGATCCACGGTGTGCGCCTGGATGCAGGAAGAGAAAGCAGCGACGTGTTACCAGGAACACCTTCTCCCAGTATGGCTCTGCCTAAACACAGCTGTTTGAGGTGTGTGTTTACTGCTGCGATGCTAACACAATCTGAGAGGCTGAACACCCCCCCCCCCCCCCCCCGTCAGTGAGACACTTTAACACCCGCAATGACTCAACTGAATCAAACACAGCTCCGGCCTTTGGAGTGGGAATGGTCACACTTCTCATTTTAAATGTGGCTGTAGTATTTTATTATCTATTCACACACTGCAGTCATTTTTCAGTAACGAGTGTTGTCCGGGGGATCCGGCTACAATTTACGGCAGGTGCGCACACACCTGCAAACCTCCGCAATTACTCACAACATGAGAAACAACGCGGCCACTGGAGCTTCTGGTTGATGATTGGTTCTATTTATTTCACTCTGATGATCAGAAAAACAACATTTTATATAAACAAATCAAAACAGCATGTTTTAGCTTTTCCTGCTTTCTTCTTCTACCGTGTGCTTTCAATAGATTTGTCCACAACCCCCACCATCCCCACCCCCCCACAGTGTCGGAGGACTGAGGACTCAGTTTGTGACTTTGATGGAGCATTGTTAACAGTTTGTCTCTCTGTGTTCGCTGGACAGACTCTGTGTTGGGAGTGTTGGGAGTGATGGGAGTGATGGGAGTGATGGGAGTGATGGGAGTGATGGAGTGTTCCTCCTGCTAACTCCAGGGTTGTATTAGTCTTAGCTAGCTAGTTACTGGTAAGCCTGCACTCAGGAATCACCTGGTTTTGTATAGTGTTGCATGCAGTCAGTGGGCTAACATTAAGCTAGCTGTGGATGGTTTTAGTAAAAACCTCCAAACGATAGAATAGAAACCAAATCACTTTGTATCTATCTAGTAAAATACAAAACATTCTACATGAGTCTCCATAGAAAAGTGTAACTGCAGTGGAAGTCAGACTCACATGTGTGAAGGCTCTGGCATGTGCGGATGAATATGCGGAGCGATTAGGTCATCTGGTAGGTCGGATGTAGATCCCTCCGCAGTTATTCCAGGCAGCCGGTCGTGTTTATTTGGAAAGCTGTGGGAGACTCACACACCCGACCCTGATAGACGCCGTTCACCTCGTTTCCCCAGATCTCTATAACGGAGGGAACAGGTGTGAAGAGTCACAATGGAGGCGTTTACATGGGAAAATACACCTGGATGAAACATACTGACATTTCTATTTAAAGGGACAGTTCAGGTGTTTTTGACGTGGGGTTGCGTGAGGTAGTCATGAATATAGTCGGTACATTACCTGCAGTAGATTCTGTTGGCACTACATTTCCTCAACCCGCTGAACCTCCGGACCTGCAGAGCGCACTGTATTACGCCGCTTTCTGATGCACTCGGCTGACCTGCGTAGGAATACGGTAGTTCAGCGGTTGGAAAATGTAGTGCTGAAGATAAAGAGCTGAAGATAAAGAGCTGAAGATATTCTACATGAAGCTTCATTTAAACGGTCGTTGGATTGTTTTCGGTGGGTGGTTTTTTAAAAGTGTGTAAACGTCAAAAAACCTGAACTGTCCCTTTAAAGGAACCTTCGAAGGAGCTCGGCGAGTAACAACAGCAATGACATGAGTTATGTAAGCAATTCCTTCTGCTGACAAGTAATTAGTGATTGCTTTTTCAATGAGTAATACATTACATTTGTCGAGTAACTTGTCCGACATTGGTTATTGATGGCTTCGGCATAGAAATTCGATGCTGCTCTCAGCCGTCAGAATCCCTCTCTTCCCTCCACACCACATATTCTCACCTCCACCGTCCAGAACCGTCTGACGGAATTCACCTTCATTTGTTATGACGAGGACGCCGGCGACGCCGCAGCGCACATGCTATAGCACATTAGACAAGTGGTGGAGCCTCATCGAACAGCGGCACTTACCAGAGTCACACACTGTTTAGTTCCTCTGTCTCTCTCTCTGTCATCCAACCCCCTCGACCCTCGACCCCCCCACCCTCTCTCATGCGTCCATGTCTACGGAGGGTTGAGCGACGGGCGCTGAGCACTTGTCTGACGTTTGGTACCCAGTGCAACAAGCTGTTGTCACCCACGACATTGTGGCTGGGTCGTCTTAGCACGTGTGTTGGGGAGAGACGTATAATTAATGAGAGTCAGTCACAGTATGGCAGGCTCCAGGTTTCCTCCCCGGTACACCATCACACTCACACACACATGCAATCACTCACACAAGAAAACTCCAGCATGATTACACTCAACACACACACAAACACACACACACACACACACACAACTAGCATCCACAAACACATGAATGACCAGATGCTTCACGATATATTATTCACATCTGGAGCTTTTCAAGTGGCAGCAGGCTACCTTAAAAAGTGGATTTTATGTAACTGAGAGTTTAATTTTTGAATTCATTGATTTATTTATTTATTTTTTTACCTGCGAGCAGAAACGTCAATCAGCCAAATTCCCCTGTTTGCATCTCAATGTTACGGAGCTGTTCCTGTACACAAGCACATAAAATGAGCAACGGAGTAAAACTTTAATGAGAGAGAATAAATTAGCAATATAATGCAGGGTTTGTAATGCTGCAATGGCTTCTCCACTTTACCACTCCAAGATGTGAAAAACCTGTTAGGCAAGCTGTTGGAGTGGTGCTCCGAGCTGCTGGCATGCTTTTGTAATAAGGGATCAGCAGAGAATGGGGATCATGAATACAAAAGCATCAATGGGATATGCACGGTGTGAATATGCATCAAACACGTCCGCGCTCATGCCCTCGCCAGCGCTGCACAGTATGTGATGCACCGTGTTGCAGGAGGTTTTCTTCTCCGTGCCCCCCCCCCCCGAATCCCATCCCCACAAGGTGCCGCACTACTAATGGGTCACTTCATATGAAAAGCTTTCCGGCCTCTGAAAAAGCTCTACCAAAATATTCTGTGGGGTCTGTCCTTAATCACTCGGAAAGCATTAGAGGTTGAGAACAAACGAGGAATGACAGCGAGTAAACAAGCAATACGCGTCAGTAAAGCAATAAGCGCCCAACCGTCCTCCCCCCTCTCCTTATCTGTCTGTCTGTCCGTCTCTCTGGAGCCCTCCTCTGAGTTTAGGGGTGGGTGCTAATGAGGGTGCGGTTGTGATGAAACCGACGGGAGAGCTGATGAAGGAGATGAGACAGAGAGGAGAAACGGAGTTGCGTGGACACAGCTGATAACGGCCGCGGTTGTTTTTCATTCAGATTCGTCTGGGTCGTCTGAGAACATTCATTCTGGGTTTTATCTCTCAAAGGCTTTCTGTGACTGTAGTGGGAAAGGGAAAGCTGGTCTCTGAATTGCACAATTTCACCATCAACGTTACTGTTGTGGAAGGGGTCTCGGAGGAACGGGACCCTTTCGTACGTAATGTTGTAATGTTACTGCTAACAAACAGCACTGGAGGGTTTTACACAACTGCAGCACTGGCACCGGGACTGGAGTCCTTCAGGACCGACAGAGCCCGAGGACCGGCTACCAGCAGAAGTCAAAACGACTGACAACCTTTTCTCAACTTCCCTCACTTCCTGTCGGCCGACACGGCTCAGAATGATTGGCCGACAGAGTTCGAGCGAGCACTGTGAACGGCTGATCTGGGAGATCCTCATCAGAGGCGCCGCGATCACACCCAGCGATCGTGCTGAAGTGCTGGAACACAGTGACACCTTCCCATGATTAACTTCCCCGCGGTCAGACGCCCTTCAACGCTGGATGGACTTCTGTGACTCCCTTCAGGCAAAGCAACGCCTGGAAAAACAGCCAGTGAAGTTGAATGAATTAGACTGAAAAAGCCTCTGTCGTGGACGATGTAAATACTTGAACACATGCACAAACATACACACGCACACACACACACACACACACACAGAGGAAACAAGGAGGCATACACAGAAGTGTAACGCTTATTATATCTT